CCGTATGATTCTCCAACAGGAGAGGTTTAGCTAAATATACTCTCGTTGTCTACCTACACTTCTTCTCCCGCCACTTCATTTTAATGTATGCTCTATATTACCGTACTAGCATTGATTAAAAATTACCTTGGCATTTCAGGGGGCTTTCAAGAATCAAATTGATGCATTGCCTTTTTGGTTTGCCTTCTTAATAAGGCAGTCCCAATGGCACATTCCCTAAGATTGCCAAAAATTGCTTTCAACCAATGTGTCTTGCCTTCACTGACGTGCAACCCAAGGATTAAACCTTAAGGGCACCTGGTTGGGAATTAGGTGCTCGGTAACCTGGAAGTTTATTAATTCCCTACCAGGTGTCCTTAAGGTTTATCCTTGGGTTGCACATCAGTGAAGGAAATAATCTAACTCTAACTGGAATTAAATACTCTAACTCTAACAGATCCAAAGTTCAGATGGGAAAATTGGAATGTACGAGGTTGGAAAAGACTATTGTGTTCCATCTGGCCAATCCCAAAGTACAAACTATTCATACACTACTGTATCTCTTATACTGCTCAATCAATTGCTTTGCCAAATAGCTATCTAATTCTCTCTTGAGTTTGCTGACTTATTCTGCTTCCACTGACATTTTTGGCCTCCAGTGCCTCTCTGGACAGTTCATTCCACATATTCACTGTGCGCAGTGTGAAGGTAAGAAATCTAAACTTCTTTCTTTTGAGCTCAGATCCATACCCTTTGCTGTAGAATTTTAGGACTGTGTTTATGACTCTGGGTTCAGTTGGTCTTTAAGATCTTTGAATACTTCAATAAGATCTTTCCCCTTCTCTATTCTTCTCATCTCCTATATTAACATTGCCAGCTTTTGTAGTCTCTATTCCTGGTAGAGCGAAGTTGGTTAACTGCTAAAATGAATTGAATTGAATTTGAATTGCTGTTCAAATTGGATGAGCAGGATTTGGTTGTGACCACTTTAGACGTGAGTCAAGTCCTCCAGTGCTCAGCTGGACTTAAAATGAGATTGTGTGAGGGGGATGGAAAGAGGGAGAGAGAGAGGAGGGGGGAAAAAAAGCATCTTTAAGCCATGGTGTTTCCTATTCCCGTACTGACAGGCACTAGGGAATATGGTGCAAAGATTTCTTAGAAACTATAAATTGTGGACCAGATGCTATTCTCATGCTACAGAACACACCAGTAAGATGTTCTCCAAAGAAATGTTTCTGGATTTAATGATTTGCAGTGGAAGATCCATATAATAGAATCTATTTGCAGCTGACCAAATGGGATTTAGCCAATAAAAGAATTCTGGTGGAGCATAAATTCTGGCCTGATGCACATTTTTGTTGTCACAGACATGTTTTATAAATTACTGTAGTGTTCTCACAGAGGAAATTCTATGAGTGCTACACAAGTAGACATTTATTCTTGAGTGCAATGGTCATCTTTGATTGTATTGTTAGAGGTGCTGCCCTTCAAATGAGAAGGACAGCAAAGTCCTTCTGGCTATTCAGGTCCTGGTGCTTTCGTCTGAATATATAAGACCTGTGCTTTGAGATGTTCTCCCACCATAAAAGGCATTGTATCAAATGCAAGGATTAACTGGACATGCTCCTGACGTGAATGAGCTACACAAATGTTATTTGTTGTAGTTACTTATGTTTAAAACATTGAGAATCAGTAGCACAATCAAAATCATAATCCTTGCATTTGATAAAGGACTTTAGGAACTTTAGGGATAATTTAGATTATCAAATCCATGTATGCCCTTGCACCTCCCTTTCTTTCTGATCTCCTTTCTCCCCACTCCACTACTCACTGCCTCCACTCAGCTGGCTCTGGATCCTGCTTGCTCCTTGTCCCCTCCACCACACCATCGACGGCTTTGCTTTCAGTCACTATGCCCCAAAGCTTTGGAATTCTCGCCTTCAAATCTATCCTCCTTGACCCTCTTTTAGATCACGATTGAAAACCTTCCTCTTCGACTGTGCTTAAGGTCACCTCCTCCTGGCTCAACGTCAGGCTCTGACACTGTTAAACGCTCCGAGATGGTGCCCTGTGTGAATTGCGCTGTATAATTGCAAGTTATTGTTGTTTATCACATCATCAAAACATCAATTGCGCTTCACATGGTGTATTGTAAAGTATAATGACTGTTTTTTGTAGGCGAAGATGGAAACCAATTTGTGCGCAAACGGCCATGAAATGAATGAACACTAATCATTCAAACTACCTACAATATATCCTTAAATAACTAACTAGAAGATATCCCTGGGGTAGGTTGGGGGGTGGAGGGGTTGCGGTTGGGTGGGGAGAGGGTAAATGGAGCCAACTTAAAGCTGAGCTGGCTTCATGGAGACATATGTGGCAACAGAATGCTGGAATTGCGTCAAGCCTCTGTGGCGGTCTTGGCAACCAGTTCCTGAGCCAGTCGGGACCACAGTACTCCAGAGTACTGGTGATGACAACCCAGCCAACCTGGCTGATTAGCAGAGAGTGGAGGGGCAGACCAGTTACTGGGGCTCCTGTTAATCTTGGAAGCTCAAACCCAAATGGATAGGCTGGTCCTACTTGGACAAGCAGCAGGAAGCTTGCCAGTCAGTGCTTGCAATAATACTATAATAATTTTTTTTTGATATCTACATGTTGCTACTCGGCAATATCATCTGCAGGAATGGGATTAACTTTACTGAATCACCCAACTTGCTATATCTCCCCTGCCCTACCCGGCCCACCACCGGCATTTGGGCTTTCAACCTATCTGCTCCGACTCTCAGGAACTCCACCCTGAGTGTCTATGACTCGCCGCTTTCCCTTGCCTCCTTCAAGGTCTGCCTCAAGACCTCCATTCAGTTATCTTTCCCCCACCCCCCCCTCCCCCATCCCTTGGCCTCACTCCCAGCTTGGGAGCAAATCCTAGATTGTCCAGTACCTTAGTACCTCCTCCCAACTTGAAAGCGCTATATAAATGTCAAGTTACTACTGTTGCTGTTGTTATCGCATCGTTGAAATGTCTCAAAGCTCTTCACAGGATATACTGTAGTGTTATGATGGTGTGTGTTTTGTGGGTGAAAGCAACAGCCAATTAGTAACATTCCACAAACAGTCGTAGAATGATTGACCAATTTTATTTGATGAGTTATTTGTCAGGTCATTGGGAGAAACTCCCTCTTTGCGAATAGTGCCATGGGATCCTTAACATCCACCAATTGCAAGCCGTACGATTTTAGCTGATTAAGCTCCCAAAAGTATACCAACACAGCCTCTGGGTTTCCATGTCTGGCTCTGGTCAACCTACACTTAATACTTCCTGGAATTCTTCTAGAAGTTTCTTTCAGTGTACAGGCCAACAATCCCCAGATAAAATTGGTCACGGCTATTGATGGGGCATTGCTTGCACGAATTGGCTTTCCTGTTTGTCTGTGTATTACCGCACTTAAAAGTAAATCCTGTGAAACACTTTGCGATATTTTAATGATGAGATATGATGCTATATCGAATGCAAGCATTATGATAACTTAGTTATCGTGTTTGTGCCCCTCCGTTGCTTTGAATGAGTGGGTTCAATATATTCACACACGTCTGTGTTGGCACTGTAGGCCAGAGTTCTGGCAGTGCTGCTTCAATTTCTGGATAACTTATCTCCTCATTTAGTTTGCCAACTAACAGCAGAACAATTTTGGTGAATAAAATAGCTATTAGTAGTTCATTATCTATAGGATACGTCTTGATTTAATAAGTGAGTAGCTGGAGTAATGTATGTCGAGGCTGATGCTTCAATACACACTGATAAAAATTGCATTTATATAGAGCATTTCACATTGGGAGGATGTCCCAAGGAGCTGGACAGTTGAGGGTTGCATCTGAGCTGGGGGTTGGATTCGGGGGTGTGGAGGCCAAGGTAAATATGTGCAGTAGGACACAATATATTGTTCAGCTGAACATTAAAGATCCCATGGCACTAGAAGAGAGGGAGTTGTTATGATTATGTTGTTATTGTTTAACTCGCTCTGTAGAGGTAGTTTTTAAGTGGTTTTCAGTGATGGGTCAGCCAGACCAATGTTTCAAAGCGCTTCACAGAATGTACTGCAAAATAGATTGACTGTATATTTTGTGGGCAAAACGCGGCAGCCAATTGCGCACAGCAGTGTCCCACAAGCCTTAGCTTGAGTGAACAAATAGAACAGTTGATGACTGTAGGAACTATGTTTGTTTTATACTTCTACATATGTCCACTTTCAATTTATTATTATTATAGGCAGTCTGCATCCATGAGCAGGGATCTCATGGGTATAGATCGCCTCCCATGCCAGTTTGAAGCTAAGCTCTCCCTGCTGTGGAACATGGAGCATTGGTGGAATGCTTCCCTAGAGTGCAGTCAGCAGAACGGCCAAGGCGGGAGGGGAAACCCAACTCCAATGTCTCCATGGAGGAAACAATGCTGAAATTTTCCTAAACCATATATTAAAAAAATCTGCTGACATTATTATTTTCTTCCATGAACCGGGAAAATATTTTGATTTTGATTTTTAATAGAAAAAGACACTCCCTATCTATAAAAGCTTTGTTTCCCTTCAGGTATAAATGTCATCGCTAAGAGCTTACTAGTTGACTGCCAATGTTTTGTCCAGCGATCAACATCACATTGCTCTCAACCAGCCCCTGGACATGTCTGTCATTTTATTCATGTTGCTTTTAACATTTGTTGAAAGGGCTTTTTATGCCTGCTTTTGACAGCATGATTAATGTTGGCTCCTAGTATTATAGTCCAGATAGCAATTTGACAGCATATAAAATCATGCAAAAATAATTCAAACAATTAATTACTACTTTACCCTTCAAGCAGGGAAGTGTCTTAGAGCGCTTAAGAGTGGTGGAGCCTGATGCTGAGAAGGGAGGTGACTGTAGGCACGGTCGAAGAGGAAGGTCTTCAGGCCTTCTGAAAAAGGGGAAGGAGGGGGCAAGGTGGAGGGATTAGGAGAGAGAGTTCCAAAGCTTTGATGATAGAGATGAGGAGGCCAGAACCAGCTGAGCAGATACGGCAGGTGTTGGAGCGAGGATTAAGCAAGTCGGAAAGGTAGAGAGATGCCAGTGATTTGTAGACAAGTGTGAGGATCTTGAAGTCGATCTAGAATAGGGAGCCAGTTGATCGTGGCAAGGACTGGTGTGATGAGGATACAAAGTTTGCTGTGTGTGAGTATAAAGGCGACGGATTTTAAATTATTTGTATTTTGTGACTAGCGGAGCTGGGGAGACTATTGAGAAGGGTAATAAATAATCGAGATGGGAGGTGATGAAAGTGTGAATGAGGGTTTCGGCTGTGTTGGGTGTGAGGCATGGTTGGAGGCGGGTTGTGTGGTGGAGGTGTGAAAGGAGAGGGAGATGAGGAAGTGGTCAGAAATAGCCTTGTCCTTGATGGACAAATCAGAGATGTCAAGGCCATGGATAGCAACAACTGTCTTGTACTACTTTTTGGATTGAACAGGAGTATCCATTGAGGCAGAGATTGCAATGATGATTCTAGAATTCATTGGGGTTGGAAAATGTCCTGTTCTATAGAAAATGTTCTTACAAAACACACCAGTCACACCACTTTATAATGCATGTAAATCCTTTGAAGAGCTTTGAGACATCTTGACATTGAGCTGAAGGGCTATGCCAAATGCAAGAAGTACTTTATTATTAGATCTGTGAATTACTGAATGTGAGGTATGATCAAATCTGTTGTGAAACAACCCACATACCTCCTCCCCCCTCTACCCCTTGTGCAAATCCTGTGCATACAGGTTGGGTTTACACATTTCAACTGTATCAGAGCTGTTTTCGAATGGCAGTTAACGATTTTAAATAAAAATTGGTGTTCTTCAAGGTGACTTGATAAATGGAACACTTCTCCATTTTCAGGACCCAGGGAGTGATTCTTGGTAAATTGACTGATTTTGGCAGGCAAGTGTGTCTTATTCTCTGCTGGTCCCATGTTTCCTTTATATGCTCCCGTTGCCAAGGTGCTAACGTTTACGAACCCCTTGACAATTAATGAAAGGAGAATAGACCTTTCTTCTCCTCTGACCCCCCTCCCCAACCCCCTCCTTGCAGCCATTCCTTTAGCTTGGCTCAGTTAGTAGCACTCCTCTTCTGAATTAGGTGTGGGTTCAAGCCACAAAGTCAGGACTTTGAGCTCACATAGTTGATGCTGAAAGTACATTGGTTCATAGCATCCTTTGGATGAGATATTAAACTGATCAGGTTCAGGTGGACGTTAGAAATCCCATGGCACTATTTCACAACAGACTGGAGTTTCACCTGGTGTCCTGGCCAAGAATTCTCTTCACTTCATGGCTGTTTGTGGGACATTACTGAGTGCAAATTGGCTGCATTTGTCTACAAAGTACACAACAAAAGTCCTGTGAAGTACTTTGAAACATTTGACAACATGAATATAATATATAAGGATGATTATTATAATATTTTGTCAACCTTGAGCACTCCCCATGTTCTTATGGCAGAGAAAAGCTCCCTCCATCCACATTGCCATAATTTACCTCAATTTAAAGCTCAATTTCAGAAGACTATACGACCTCAAACTTTTCAATTTCCACACCAATGTGGCCTCTCTGAGTGAGATTGCCAATTAGTCCCAGATTACATTGTGCTGTGGGTTTGTATTCCCTTGGAACAGTGCTGTAGCTGCTCAGGCTTGTCTTGACGTAGGATGCGAGTAGCCAGCAGATACATCCATGCCAGCAGTCTGGACTAAATTAAAACCCAGGTTCCAGAGGTAAAAGAGAGTGAGCTTGTTCACTGACCACCCAGTCCCTGAAGCATACAGTTTCAATATACAGACATTTTATTGAAACAGCCTCCTGTACCCCAAAGACAGAGCATATCCTCATTTTCCCTCACCAACATTTGTTATAGTAAATCGAATACTATGAGAAGCATAGCATCTAAACCAATCTGGTCTATGGCAAATCTCATGTTCTTAGGTTTAAGCCCATTGCTTTCAAAAAATGTCATGCAGATGTTTGGAAAATAGCCTTAACTTTAGACCTAATTTAGACCCAGCCATTATAGACTTATGACAAAACTGAGGAAATATTTAAATTGTAATATGAAGTTAGCTAAATATAATAGGTAAAAAAATCTTCTCTGAAAATATCTATAGGGATTATTTGCATTTATTTTAAACTACTCAGGTTACAGGATTGTGGAGTGCTGTAGCTCAGTGGTTAGAGCACTAGCCTTGTGAGCGAGACACCTGGGTTCAATTCCAGGCAGGGTGAAATCTTGGGCAAGTTTCCTTACTCCACATGCCTAATAATAGTCCCTCCAAAATAAAACAACAATAAATTGGTCATTTTCAATCCACGACTGTTTGTGGGACACTGCTGTGCGCAATTGGCTGCCGCGTTCACCCACAAATATACAGTTAATTCATTTTACGTCTATTCTGTGAAGCGCTTTGAGACATCTAGAAGACGTGAAAAGTGCTATATCAAATGCAAGGATTATTATTATTATTATGGGATGCCTCAATTATTTAACATGGTTCCTGCGTTTTTAAATAGATGGATGACATGGTCAAATCTGGCTTGACCACCTCTGAAATTACTGCTTCTCCCCCTCTGAAGCTAACACCTTCACCTATTCCAAGGTTGTTCCTTGGTCATCAAGGAGACCAAGGACAACCACAGGATCTTTTAGATTTATCTCTGCCTCTTTGTCCTCCTTCAACTCTATGCTTCTTTTGACAATGTTCATCACTTCATCCTCTTTGATTGCTTCTCTTCTATCACCTACCTCTATGGGACCAAATTCACCTGGTACCAAAATTCCAGCTGATACAAATTCTGCTGCTCCACATCCTCATATGCACCAAAGTCTGCATGCCCATCACGCCAATCATCCACTTTACCCCCATCTCCCAACCCATCGATTCCACGGTCCTCACCATTATCCATGAATCTTTCCACAGCCTAGGACGTTTCTATCTCTGTGATCTTGTGCTCGCTCCCTCCGATCAGCTAACTTGGTTCTGCTGCATGGCTCCAACTGCTCTAGGCCACCATCAGAGGCCGAGCCTTCAACAACTATGCCCCTAACTCATGGAAGTTCCTCCATTTTGCCTCTTTTCTATCTGTCTTTAAATCCTGTCTAAAAAGCTATCTCTTTGACCAGGATATGGACACCTCCCCTCACTCCCCCTCTTCCCATGCTCATTTTACAATAAAAGTAATCCTCACTAATCCTTGCATTTATACACCACATCATCATGTTGGCAAGATGTCTCATTGCGCCTCACAGGATTCTACGGTAGTGACTCTGTACTTGTAGGAAAAGGCGGCAGGCAATTTGCACACAATGATGTACCACAAACAGCCGTGAAGTGAGTGACCAATTTTATTTGAGGTGTTATTGGCCAGGACATCGTCTCATTTATTTTGTCATCTGAACAGGCAGATAGGAATTTGGTTCCACATCTCATCTGAAGGACAGAACCACCAATGATGTGACACACCCCACCAATGCTTTGGAAGGTTAACCTAGCCTGAGAGTTCCAAGTCCCAATGTGGATCTTGAACTCACAGTCTTCTGACTCGGAGGCGAAAGTGCTATCCAATGAGCCAGGTTGACACAATGTGAAGCACTTTGGGATGGTGCTCTGCCCTGCATGAGAGGCGCTGTGTAAATGAAACTTGTTATTGTTATTGATTTTGTATTGGGAATACAATAGAGTTGGGATTCAGGAAGGATGGTAGGTATTAGTGGACCGTAGGGCCTTCTTCTCCCAAAGCTCTTGTGAATTGTTTTCAATTTGTTGACAAATGTAATTCCTGTTTCATTAGATTAGAAAGGCCTGCAGAAGAACTTTCAATATAATTTACATCTGTACAGCAACGTTCACATCAGGAGGACTTCTCAAAGCGCTGAACAGTCAGGTTTCGGGGCCCGAGCATAGGGAAGTGGTGGTGTAGGGGTAAGGGAAGGCAGAGAGTTGGGAGGGAGATCAAAAGTACGGTCGAAGAGAAGGGTCTTGAGACCGGCCTTGAATGAGGCAAGGGAGGAAGTGAGGCGAAGAGACCATGGGATGGAGTTCCAGAGTGTGGAGGCAGAGAGACTGAAAGCCTGGCCACCGATGGTAGGGTGGGTCGGACGGGAGACATGAAGCAGGCTGGACCCCGATGAATGGAGGGAGTGGGCAGGTTGGTAGGGAGTCAGCAGGTCAGAGAGGTAGGAGAGGGCAAGGCCATGGATGGCCTTAAAGGTGAGGACGAGGATCTTGAACTCGATCGTCTGGGGGATGGGGAGCCAGTGGAATCGGGTGAGGGTGGGAGGGATGGGGTCACAGAGCCTGGTGCGTAAGAGTGCATGAGCTGCAGAGTTTTGAATGATCTGCAGCTTGTGAAGGGAAGAGTTGGGAAGGCCGATGAGGTGGGAGTTCCCGAATAGGACCCAAGGGGAGTGGGGAGGGGAAATATGACTGGAAGCATGATCAGAGAATTATGTATGGAGATGGACCTTGAATAAGCTGAGGGAGTTAGTGAGTTGGAGGGACTCGAGGATGGAGTTGCACAGAGCAGTGTCAGAATAGATGAAAGCCTGCCCGGTTATGAACCAGATAAGATGGGGGCATGAAGCAGGTTGGTGTTTGCTCAGCGAAGGGAGTGGCCGGGCGAATAAGGTTGAAGGCGGTCATGGATGTCGGGTGGAGCGAGATAGTAGACGGATTTGAGGGTGAGAACAATCTTGAATTTACATTTATATAGCGTCTTTCACGTCGGGAAGACGCCTCTTGAAATCGATCTGCTAGGGGAATGGGAAATAAGCTTTCTGAGGGGAGGTGTTGTAGCCTTTCTGTGAATATAAACTTGTGACTTTTCTTTTGTTTCAGCTTTAAAAGTCTACTTGGAATCGCTGTTTCCAGCAGCACGAGACATATGGAACAAATACTGAGGACCATGAAACTTGTCCTGCACACTTTTCTGCTGCTACTGTTCCAACAAGTCAGTACGGCTGTGGGTGACGTAAGATCCAGTAAGAAACTAATATTTCCTTTTAATTTTCATTTTGTCAAGTATGTAACTTATCAAGATGATAAATGACACCACTAAGCAACGGAATACTTTACCTGGTGCTCACTTTTGACATCTGTCCCTTCTAGGTCATGGAAAGCTTGGAGCAGATGCTCTAACCAGCTCCTTTTAGGATTCAGTGCACTGGGTAGTTTGTTCCTTAGTAACTTGTGCAGCCATCGTACAGTGCTGAGTTATCCAATCATTGCGTTGCATAGAATTTAATGGACAGACCATTTTGCCTAGAGTTCTGCTATTAGTGGAGTCTTGTAGCAATTTAGTTAGAGCACTTGCCTGGCAAGAGAGAGGATCCGGGTTCAATTCCCGGGCAGGGAGAAACTGTGCACAAAATTGGCTATCACATTCACCCACAAAACACACACGGTCAATGCACTTTAGAGCATATCCTGTGAAACTATTTGGGACTTCCTCCTGACCTGAAAGGCGCTTTACCAAATGTAAGAATTATTATTATGACTAATTCTATCCAAGAAATGAAAGGGACGGCGTTATGCAACTATGCAAATTTCAGCACAATTTGTGAGTTTAGCAAAACTATTTGTCTTTACTATTGTCAATTTAGTTGGTGAACATTAGTTTGAAATTTTTGCTTTTTATTTAATGCCTATTAAAGGAAAATTTAGGAAATAATATCTCGGGATGCAATCCATAATTTGGGACACGACATGTGCATGTGACGGCCAGGATGTTAGAAGGTGAACTGGATAGACCATGGTCTTCTTTTGCCTAGCAAATTCTTATGTTCTTATGCTCTAATTCTTCAGGGATTGTGAATTATAAAATTGGCCTTTTAATTCAGGGTCACATTCAGTGACAGTCCTAACTATTTAGAGAAACATTTTCTTTCACTGTAACAGTAAACATTACAAGGGATGAGGATTGGCAGCCTCTATCAATTTATCGGAGCCCACATCTCCATAGGAAAAACCTTACTCTACTTTGGCAAAATACTGGGAACATTAGAACAGGAGGAGGCCATTCAATCTATCTGGTTGTTAGTCGATTGGTGGACCGCTTTTCTGGGGATAATAATCCTTAAATAAAATAATTTGGTTACTCAATCCAACAACAACAACTTGGACTTATATAGCACCCTCCAGGCAGAGTAGCATCACAGAGCGCTTAACAGTGTGGAGCCTGATTCCGAGCCAGGGCGAATGATGGAGAGTATTCCAGAGTTTCGGGGCATAGTGGCTGAAAGCGTGACTTCCGATGGTGGGGCGGAGGATGCGAGGGACGAGCAGGAGGCCAATGTCAGTCAAGCGGAGGTGCCGGGTGGTGGATTGGACAGTGAGGAGGTCGGAGCGGTGGGGAGGTGCCAGGGAGTGAAGGGATTTGAACACGAGTGTGAGGTTCTTCAAGGCAATCCATTCGGTGATGGGGAGCCAGTGGAGCCTGGCCAGATGGGGGTACAGAATTTGGTCTGGGTCAGTAAGCGGATGGCAGAGTTCTGAATGAGCTGGATCTTTTGAATAGTGTAGCTGGGGAGACCGGGGAAGAATGTGTTTGAGTAATCTAGGCGGGAGGTGACAAGCGCATACACGAGGGTTTCAGCTGCATTTGGGGAAGACACTCAGAGGTGGGCATGTGGTGGAGGTGGAAGAAGGTGGTCCTGGTCAGGGACCAAATATGGGAAGGAAGGGCAGCTGGGGTTCGGTGGGTGAGAGGGAGATCCCAGGGAGGTTGAGGAGTTCAGATCCGCAGGAGTGAAGATGTTAATGGGGCCAAGGAGTATGGCTTCCATCTTGTCCACATTCAGCTGCAGGAAGTTTGCACTCATCCAGACCCGGATGTCTGCCAGACAAGCTGATAGAACATTGGCGGACCTAGAGTTGGTACTGGAGGAGGCAACGTAGATTTGTGTGTCATCCCCATACATGAAAGTTTACCTCGTGTCTGCCGGTGACATTGACTAGAGGGAGCATATAGATAAGGAAAAGCAGAGGGCCAAGGATGGAGCCCTGGGATACCCCGCAGGTGACCAGGTGGGCGCCGGAGGAGAAACCATTTGCCGAGATGAAATGGAGGCAGTTGGTTAAGTAGGACTCAAACCATGCGTGGTCAACTGTATCAAACATGGCAGAGAGATGCAGGAGGATGAGGAGGCAGATGGAACCCTGGTCACAGATAGAGAGGACGTTGTTTATGACTTTGAAAAGTGCTGTCTTTGAGCTGTGGGAGGGCAAAAATCAGACTGCAGGGTCTTGAGGAGGGAGAGGTGTGAATGAAGTTTGACCTGCAACAATGCACTCCAGGACTTTGGCAAGGAAGGTTAGGTTGGAGATGATCTGGCAGTGTGCAAGATTAGAGGGATCGAGGGTGGTTTTTTTTGAGGAGGGGTGTGATAACAGCAGTTTTCAGGGGAATTGGAACAGAGCCTGCGGAGAGAGATTGGTTGACTGTGTCGGCCAGCAGGGGGGAAGAGGAGGGGGAGTTGAGTGACCAGCATCTGGGTGGGGATGGGTTTGAGGCAGCAGGTCGTGAACTTCATCCGGGTGATTGTGGTTGAGAGGGAGGAGGCAGAAATTGGGACAAAGGAGTGTAAGGATGGGGGAGTGCAGAGGGAGAAGGCGGTGTGGATGATCTGGTTGGGGTGGAAGGGGACGGGGTGGGAGGACACTGCAGCGAAGCGAATGTTTTCAATCTTTGAGGCGAAGTCTAGGACCTCTTTGCACTTGGCAATTCACGACTGTTTGTGGGACACCGCTGTGCGCAATTGACTGCTGCACTTCACCCACAAATATACAGTCAATTCACTTTACAGTATATTCTGTGAAGCACTTTAAGACGTCTAGAAGATGTGACAAGCACTATATGAAATGCAAGGATTATTATTGTTATCTCTTATGCCTAAATGCCTCCAAATGCTTCACACGCAATTGCTGTCAAACAAACTGTGCATTTGTAAGCAAATAACACAGATCACAATTATTTTATTTTATGGAGAAACATGTCCATTGACTCATCCTTTGGCTGTGTCCCAAATGTGTCTACAATTTTATGTTTTGTAAGTTTACACAACAGAAACCGCTGCCGTTGCTAAATATATGTCACCAGGTCTCCGCCCAACTGCTGGAGTGCGTACTGCACAGCTGCCATTCAGCCACTTCGCAGGGCTTTCCCACCGTGGAGAAAGAATGACCACAACTATGTGTATTTTGTTGGCAAATATAGCAACTAATTTGCACACAGCAATATTCCATGTACTGCAGCTCACTGTTTAAAAAATGTTGCATTGTGATTTGGCTAACCAAGCTTATTTATTTTAAATTGCACCTTTACCCACTCTCTCGCTCTCTTTCTCTCTCTCTTTCCATTTATTTGCTGTCCTTTACCATTTCGCTCACAAACAAATACACAGTCAATTCACGTTACAGTATACTCTATGAAGCGTTTTAGATGTCTTGAAGTCATGATAAGGCGCTATATCAAATGCAAGGATTATTATTATTTCCTGAGAGAGAAGAGAGGGATATGGAAGAGGGGATACGAGAGGTGGAGGCTCATATGGAATACAAACACTGGCACTGATTGTTTAAGTCGAATGGCCTGTTACCATCCTGTAATGTTCTATATGATTTTGGATACAGGATCAGGAGTCCTGTAGCTCAGTGGTTAGAGCATTTGCCTTGGAAAGGAGAGACCTGGGTTTGATTTCCTTATTCTACATGCCAGATAATAATCCGTCAAGAAAAAAAACAATAATAAAATTGGTCACTTCAATCCACGACTGTTTTTGGGACACTGCTGTGCGCAATTGGCTGCTGCATTTCGCCCACAAATATACAGTCAATTCACTTTACAATATATTCTGTGAAGCGCTTTGAGACGTTTAGAAGATGTGAAAAGCACTATATCAAATGCAAGGATTATTTTATTATTATTTTGTATATCGACCTGGGAATGAAATTTCACGATAGCTCGTGGGTAAAGACACCACCTTATGTAACACTCGGCCACACAGACAGGAAGGTCACAGGTTGAATCCCCATTCTGTTAGCTGACTTTGATCAGGGAGTCAGCATCATTGAACTTTGAGAGGAGGAAATCAGCCAGGCTGCCCACTCCCTAATAGTATTCCGAGCCCACTGCTGGAAGAAATTTTGAATCTATTTTTGTTTTCCTGGCATGTAGTATCCTGCCTAACCAGCTACTGCTCCTACACACAGGTTTTGTTATTGCTCAGCTGGTTGTGTGGCACATGTGGAAACCCATCGCCGTGTTTTAGAAACTTCCACCTCTATAGGGAAATGTCCCTGTGTCTGCTATGGAATGTGCACTCTCTGCATGGATGCTCATCTAAATCCTGGTGAATATTAGGCAGAGGTTTGAAAGAGCCAAAGCTTGCAGATTCCTGAGTGTATGAAGAGTGCTCGTCATGTAGCTCACATATCGAACGTTACAGGATGGAAGGTTACAGACAATTGGTGTCGGGCAAGCTGGCAAGGCTTAACAGGAGGCAAGTGGGAAGAATTTGGCTCTCTAAATCTTGCTGATGAGCCAGGCTGGCAGGTCTGCCATCAACAGTGTCTTGGAGTATGTTGGACCCACCTGGCTCAGGAACCAGACTACTGAGGCTGCCAGAGAGCTTATGTTACATAAGTATATTGGCAGACTATTTGAATGTAGCAGGAGGGATATAGTGGGTGAGCCTGATCCTAGCTTCATCCGACCGCTGACATTCAGAAAATGTAAATCTCTAGAACTCCATCCAGAAGTCCTTCCCATTTGCTCTCTCTCTCTCTCTCTCCCTCATTCAAGATCCGTCTCGAGAACTATCATTGTGACTGTGCATTCGGTCACCTTTCCCGTGCCCACCCTCTTGGCTCCCATCCCCAGCTTGAGTGGCAATCCAATTATTGTTACCCACCTTGTCCTCCTGATGTGAAAGACTCTGTGTTTACAGTCACTTCCCCCCGGCTTGGACAGACTCCCTCACTGTTAAGCGCTCTGAGACTCTGCCCTGCGTGGAGGACTCTATATAAGTGCATGTTGTTGTATGATATGGCTCCTTGGCTGTTTGTCGGATGTTTATCTGTGGAAATTGGCTGACATGTTCACCCTCAAAATACATTGCAGTGGAGTCCTGTAGCTCAGTGGTTAGAGCACTCGCTTTGCAAGTGAGAGACCTGAGTTCAATTCCAGGCAGAGGGCGAAACCTTGGGCAAGTTTCCTTACTCCACACAGAGCCTAATAATAATCCCTCCAAAACCAAAAACAATAATAAATTGGTCATTTTCAATCTACGACTGTTTGTGGGACATTGCTGTGTGCAATTGGTTGCCGCGTTCGTCCACAAATATACAGTCAATTCACTTTACAGTGTGTTCTGTGAAGCGCTTTGGGACGTCCTCCCGACGTGAAAAGCGCTATATCAAATGCAAGGATTATTATTATTATTATTATGTTACAGTAAATCCTGTGAAGCGCTTTGAGACGTCCTCCTGATATAAAAGCCACTGCAACAAATGCACGGATTATTATGCATTCATTATAATAATATTATTAATTCATTATGAATATGTATGATAACTCTCCCTCTTATAGGCCTAAAGTTTTCTCAAGAGTGAAGTGCAATATTAAGTATGACTCTGAGTAATCATTAAGCAGCATTAATAATAATAATAATAATAATCCTTGCATTTGATACAGCACCTGATCGTTGAGGTGTCTCAAAAGGCTTCACAGGATACACTGTAAAATGTAGTGACTGTGTTAACCATAAAGTGCAAAATCTTCATGTTATTCCAAGTGCCAATGTCGTCTTTCCTTTTTTTCTCTTTCTCTTTCAGGCTGCAGAACTGCACCAAATGACTTGGTCTTCATTTTGGATGGCTCATTTAGTGTAGGACCAGAAAACTTTGAAATCGTCAAAAGCTGGATTGTTAACATATCCAGCAGCTTCGAGATAGGGAATAAGTTTACACAAGTTGGTGTCATTCAATACAGTGACGATCCTTTGCTGGAGATCCCACTAGGAAAATATAGCTCCAACGAAGATCTGATGAAGGCAATGGAGGCCATCGAGTACATGGGCGGAAATACCAGAACGGGCAAAGCCATCACATTTGGAGTTAAGGATGTGTTCTCCTCCTCATATAGGGCTGCTAATGCAGTAACAAAAGTAGCAATTGTGCTTACTGATGGGAAGTCCCAGGATGATGTGAAAGACTATGCGGAGGAAGCAAGGAAGAAGAAGATTACCTTGTTTGCGATTGGAGTCGGTGACGAGACGGAGGAATTTGAGCTCCAAGCTATCGCCAATAAGCCATCATCCACGTACGTGTTCTATGTGGAGGACTACACTGGTATCTCTAGAATTAGAGAAGTGATGAAACAGAAACTGTGTGAAGGTAAGAACTTTTGCAACTAAACGTTTTTTGTGATTTAGCTCAAGGTGTTCTTCATGGGCCAAAATGCCTATTGACGCACATATGTGGCTTAACCATTTCAGTACAACAGCAGTGGTGTCTTTCACTTAGGATAAATGTGGTGAACCGCTTTGAAATGAGAGTGGCGATCACTGAGTTGGGTGGAAAGGAAGGAGAGATTTGAGGGTGTTGACCAAAGGCACGGACAACTAGATATGTTTGTAGAAAGGGTTTTGAAGCTGGGAATGAAAGTTGAAATGCAAAGAGGACCAAGGGAGAAGTCCAGAGTGTGGAATCATATGGAGAGAGTGAGTGATGAGGTCAGAGTGGAGTCCTGTAGCTCAGTGGTTAGAGCATTCGCTTTGCAAGCGAGAGGCCTGAGTTCAATTCCAGGCAGAGGGCGAAACCTTGGGCAAGTTTCCTTACTCCACACGCCTAGTAATAATCCCTCCAAAACCAAAAACAATAATAATTGGTCATTTTCAATCTACGACTGTTTGTGGGACATTGCTGTGTGCAATTGGCTGCCGTGTTCGCCCACAAATATACAATCAATTCACTTTACAGTATATTCCGTGAAGCGCTTTGGGACGTCCTCCCGACGTGAAAAGAGCTATATCAAATGCAAGGATTATTATTATTATAGAGTCTGCTACCCTGTAATATATACATGCATTAGGGTATGATACATGTATACTTTGGTAGTGTTCACTTGATAAGTTGGGTATTTGAGTTCAATGTACCTTCTGAATTTGGAAAGTTCAGTGGCCTCAGAGATTGAAAGGGTCACATCTATAAAATAATAAATACAATAATCCTTGCATTTGATACAGCACCTTATCACATTGTTGAGATGACTCAATGTACTTCACAGAATATACTGTAAAGTGAATTGACTGTATATATGTGGGCGAAAGGGAGATTGACACGAGATTGAAAGTCCTATGACTGACGACTGTCAATCTCCAGTGGAATACCCATGGTAGAGGCTGCAGACCCACCCTTGTTGGTTTAGTTTTGAATCTTTGAAAATGTGGATCTTCAGGTGGAGTTTGCTATCTGTGCTTTAGACACAGAGCAAAAAGTGGTGAGGATCAATGCGAGGTGACTCAATCTCTGAAGATCTTCCATTAGACGGTGAGATGTAGGAGACAGCGGATGAAGAGTAAGCGAAAGATCTTAATGTTAGAAATAGGTAAAAATGAAAATACAGTGGATCACACGATTGGTTCAGAGAAAGAAAACGGCCCTTCAGCCATTTAATCTCATTTTCCTAGAAGAAAACAGATATTGTGTGCAGACAGAATGGGATGAAGAAGAAAAAATAAAGGAAATAATCATGAGAGGGAGCACGTGGTTGCCATATATATATAAAAAGCATTGTTTTTTATTTAAAAATGAGTTGTATTTATTTTAACAGGTTACGATTGACATAAGAGTAATAAGTATTTCTGATATTCTAGTTAAAAAATTATTTTTGTGTGTATATATATACATATTCTCTCTCGCTCTCTCTATATATAGTAAAACAATTATATTTATATACCACCTTTCACACTGGAAGGATGTCCCAATTTATAGCTCCCAACAAAAATTGGAAGCTCAAAATGTGGCCAATCTGTGAGCTTAGAAACGGGCGATTCTATGGATGTGCTGGCACTCTAAGTGTTAAACTGGAACATAAATAATCAAATGTGTCCATCAGACATGCTGAGACTACATGTACAGAACAATGATCAATTATTGGCGCAACAGCAGAGAAGATATAGACCGACTTTAGAGAGAGTGCCCAGGAGACTCCACACGAATATCAGAAATGGGAGGCAAACCATAGCGAAAAGCTAGGGATACATTATATTCTGTGGACCTGAGGAGGTTTAGGAGTGATTTGCTTGAAGTGTTCAGAATTAGGAAGAGTTTGGCAAAATAAACAATAAGCATTATTTAACCTGTTGGATCAGTCAGTTGCTAGATGGCATCTTGGTCTATCATATGTACTGTACCCAATTTCCCTTCAGCAACTCCTCACACTCATTGCCAGTGCTATATTGACCATCATGAGATGAATAACTGGTGGATTTATTCCTGGCTTAAGGTCCCAGCTTCCTGTCTTTGGCAACCTTCAGTTGGAGTTTGTAAACTGTGCTTCAAACACAGAGCAGAAAGTGTGAGTGTAAATGTAATACAATAGAAATGTGCTACACCAACAAGTGTTAACAGAAACAGCTGGAGCAGAAGGAACTTCTTTCTGTCAGGCCCGCCATACTCTTTGCTCCCTGTCTTTTCAACCCCGCTATTTATAGCCACGGGGAAGAAGATTTTCTTAGATTAATTTAATAAATAATCTTATAACCCTCCGCTGCACAATTGGCAGCTACAACGCTGCGAAACTGTCGAACACTCTCCCTCAACTCTCTGCCTTGCCCCCTCTCTCCCGTTTTTCAAGTCCCGCCTGAAAACCTTCCTTTTCGACCGTGCTTACGGTCACCTCCCCCCTGCCCCCCACCACCCCCCCCCCACCCCACAGCTGGGAGTCAAGCTCCGCCATTGTTAAGCACTCTGAGATGCTACCTTGCATGGAGAGCGCGATACAAGTGCAAGTTGTTGCTGTTGTCATAACATTGAAAGATTTCAAAGCACTTCATAGGTAACTTCAGTCAACTACAGTGATAGAAACAGAAGTTGCTGGGAACACTCAGCAGATGGGGCAGCATCTATGGAGAGAGGAAAGAGAGTTAACGTTTCAGGTCAATGACCTTTCATCAGAATTGAATCAACTACAGTGACTCTGTTTTGTAGGCAAATGTAGCAGCTAATTTGCGTACAGCAAAATCCCCAGATAAAACCAATTTTATCTGGGGATTGTTGACTAGGATACCGGGATAAACTCTGCCCACAAATACAGTCAAACCACTTACGATATATACCTTGAAGAGCTTTGCGATGTCTCGCCTAAGTGATACAAAGCTGTACCACATGCAAATATTATTATTTATCTTTTCGAATGGTGCTGAGGAATCTTTAATATCTACTTAAACAGGTTTAATGCCTCATCCAAAGGATGGCGCTGCTGTCAATGCAGCAAATAATGCACTGGAGAATTATTATGTGTTTACTCAACTTCCATTAGTTTGTATTAATGAAGCATTAATGAAGCTAACTACATCCGTCGTTCTCTGATACAATCTGCGCTATGTTTCTACAGCATAGAGAACTAAACCTCATTGTAATGCGACTTATTGAATTACGACTCTTTTAGTAGGTTGTAGACCTACAGACACACAAGACAAGCAAACTTCTATCTTTTGGTGCTGACTGACTGCATGTACTTAACCTATATGTCAGGGGCAGTGCAAGTAACAACAAATTACATTTATAAATTGCCCTTCACATGGGCAGGATCTCGGAGTGCTTAAATAGAGGCAGTGACTAGTGTCTGTTTTTCGTGTGTCCATGTGTAACGTGGTTGCTTGTAATTGTCTTCTATCTTTCCTTTCATTTGTTTACCAATTACTGAAAGGAGCCTGAAGGCTCAACCAATAATTCATTGCATGACTCAGATCCCAATTGTAACCGCATATTGAGTGATTCACTGTATTTGGAGAAGGAAGCAGAAAAAACATACCTTCTCTGTAGTTAATCCATCATGTCAACAAATGGCTAATCTTGTCTCAATGCAACAAGAACAATTACATTCATATAGGTTTACATAGATTGTACAGCAAGAAAACAGGAGGGTGGTGTGGTGTGGGTGTGCAGCTGAGAAGGGTGGAGAAGAGGGAAAGGTGACCAAAAACATGGTCAAAAAGTTAGATCTAAAGATGGGTCTTGATTTCACCTACTAAGATACACAAATGGAATCAACTACAGCTTATACATCCTGTTTAGAGTTAATGTGATTTCAGGCTCATTTACTAAGTTAATTTACTAAGATCAAGCTGCCTTCTTGTCCAGGTTACAGCTCATTTGGAGCTCAGTGTGATGGTCTCCTTGTGTGTCACAGCTTCCTGTTCCCCTTGGATGCTGACAATTGGCAAACAGTTACTTTTCCAACAAAGAAAAACTATTACTTGTTCTGATCTGGACTGTTCCTTCACCTCTGTTCCCTCCAATCTTCGTTCCTCTCTGTCCTACTTCCAGCTTTCCTTTGCACCACTGTTTCCAGTTTCTGCTCACTCTCTTAAGCCTTGAAGCACCTGTGGTCTGCCTTCCCAGTTGAATTCTTCACATCTTAATTCTTTTAGCTAACTTCTTACTGCTCAGCAGTTGGCAGCCAATTTTCCCCATACTTTTTACTGTTCTCCTGTGTTTTGCTCACTGTTCCTGGTCCCAACTCACGTGCTGCTGTGTTAAGTACTTTGTTTCTGCAGTTTTCCTCTGGATGGTTATAAATCAGCTTGATCTTAAATTGACTCTTGTCCCAGATGTTCCTGTGTACTAAAGCCAGCTGCTGATTAAGTTTCTCCACAATGTACGGAGAGAGAGAAAAGGCTGGGAGCTTATAGTGCCTTAATGCTGTGCAGGTTTTGCTCAAGATGAAATGGTTTCTAAAGACTCATCTATTAACCTTGCTTCATGTGTGTCTGCCTGGCTCAGTTGGCAGCACTTCTCTTCTCTGAGCTAGAAGGTTGTGGGCTCAATGGGACAAGTCTAGGATGACACTCCAAATACAGTACTAGGGGAGCATTGATGAAGCTTTTGCCCTTCAGATCAGATGTTAAACCAAGGCTCAATCTGCCTGTTCAGGCAGACATCAAAGCTCCTACGGATCCTATTTGAAAATGGAAGGGAGTTTCTCCTGTTGTCCCGGCCAACAATCCTTCCCAAATAAAATTAGTCATTCATTTCATAGCCATTTGTGGGTCATTGTTCTTCACAAATTGGCTATTGAATTTGCCTACAAAATATACAGTCAATACACTTTACAGTAAATCCTGCAATGTGCTTTGAGATATCTTCCTGATGTGAAAGATGGTAAATCA